TCCTCACCCCAATACCCACGAAGATGGTCTGAACTTGTTCGTCGATCATTGATGTCTTCCGTTGGAGCTGAATCTGGAGGCAACGCCAATAATTCTCCTATTGCTTCAGTACTTCCTACTTCTCCACAAGAGATGCTGCTTTCGTCTGGTGTAGCTAATCAAGGCAACCATCGTCAATACCCTAGGCCAGTGTCATGGCTGGAAAGACAAGATGCTGGTTTAGTTGGAATTCCTCATTCATTGCGAACTTTAGCTGCTGCATCTGAAGGAAGAAGCAGGATTCTTGCATCTGAGGTTTGCCCTATAAGGCTATAACTGCATTTTTTTTTTCTTATTGGGATAGTTTTTGCCTTTCCTTAAAATTGGAAACCTGAAGAAATATGATTTCTTAACATTATTTGTACTTGATTTGCTTCCAATCTAACTTTTTTTGAGAACATGTGTATGTTCTTTTCCCTAGTTGCTTTTGTTTGAAAGAAATGCCATTGGGCGGCATTGTTATACAAAATGCTTGCACCAGTACTGTGAATTACTCATTCATTTGTGGCACTTCAGTCTTTACTTTGATCACACAAAAGTAAATGTGTACCTTGTGAAATCTTTGTTTTAGCTGTGCACATTTTATTTTGCCAACGTTAAATGCTTTTCTATCTGAAAAATTGTCAAATGAATCTGACAGTTTGTTATGGGGCAGATTCGCCATGTCTTGGATCTCATGCGTAGGGGCGAGAACTTGCGACTTGAGGTAATGTTTATGATATTTGTGGTGTAGTTTGATGTAGTTCTGTCTTCACCTGTTGAATCATGGAAGCATGAGAAAAGGAAGTCCATTTCCTTTCTATTATTCATGGACGAAAGTTTACATCTGACCTAACACTGGCATCTTTTTTCTAATATTGCTTGTATGTCAGGATTTTATGATCCTTGATCAATCTGTATTTTTTGGGGTAGCTGATATTCACGACCGGCATAGGGATATGCGGCTCGATGTTGATAACATGACATATGAGGTAATATATATCCTTGGTATGTAATATCTTTTCCCGGTGCGAAAAATCTCATTTTAGAATTGTTTTGTGGGTAATAGGAGTTATTGGCTCTGGAAGAGCGCATTGGTAATGTAAGCACGGGGTTAAGTGAAGAAACTATATTAAACCGTCTGAAGCAACTGAAGTACTCTAGGACATCAGGAGATCAATTAGAGGCAGAACCATGTTGTATTTGTCAGGTAATGAATTTCCTCATCTGTGGTTTCTTTGCTGATTCTATAAACCCCCCTTAAATTATTGTTTACAAATATGCAGGTGGAATATGATGATGGAGAAAACCTTGGGACACTGGAATGTGGCCACAACTTCCATGCTGATTGCATTAAACAATGGTTGATGCAAAAGAACTTGTGCCCCATTTGTAAAACAACGGGTCTGACTAAATGAGAGTACGCGTTGTTTTCTGGAAATTATTTCTTTCTCGGGTCAGAGAAAGAAAAACCATACACTGAAGTTTGTGGCTTAGCCTTCAAATGTTGCCATAAAGCAGCCTTCACGAGTCTTCACTCCGAGAAAATCAATGGCAACTCTAATTCGATTGCCAGAGGCCCTCGTACTTGCAATTATGTCCAAAGAAAGCAATCATCTGGGAATTGAAAGCTAATTTCTACATTTTTCTTTCTGATCATTGCACACCTGCAATATTAGTTTTATGTATGAATCTTCAGCCCAATGGCGACATAGATTATTATCTTTATGTTTTTTATGCACTTTTGATTTCTTGGGTGAGGAAACAGAGTTTTGGAATTGGTCTCGTTGACAACCATTTTCTGTCAATTTCTCTCTGGAGGTTAAATGGTAATCTCAGGATCTAAGTTATTTGGAGAACCCTCAATTATGGAGGTTTGAAATGTCAAAATCATAATCTCGTATTCTAGTTTGTTGTGTCTGGTTCAATAGTTGCTTGCACATATTGGGGTAGAGGAGGCTTGTCAGAGAAATGATGTTTTTTGACACAATCCTTCAACTTGAAAAAAGTTATGCTTTGACATTAAAGCAGGTCTGAAAGTAACCCCCATACTTAACAAAGCTTTTCAACCAAGCTGAAGCCCATGCTTTTGCTTTAGTGCTGAGCTGACTTCTAACAGTTTGTTTTGCTGTTGATGTATTCATCCTACTATTTGAGATTTCTGTGAAAATTGAGAAGTTTGTACATAGAAGATTCGATCTTGTAACACTGTTGAAAATGATACCACTTGAGCTAAAGCCAAAATCCGTACAGGTTCCCCAGTACCAAATAAAGAAGAGAGAAAGTTGGCAAGTTCTTCGTATTCCCTTTATCATCTTCCAAAGAAAGGTGAACTTCGAACCTGACGGTGTTAAAACTGCAAGTTGGTTCGTGCTTATTCCACCCACAATTGACACTCCCATTTTTGTTAACCGCTATAAATACTTGTAGCCTAGAGTAGAGGTGCACAAAAAATCCGGGTTCTGTGCATGTCTAGCCTAGAGGTACTTAAGCATCAAATCAATTATAAGTACTTTTATTCAAGAGTATTTAAAATTTATTATATCTAAGTGAGATTTTGAGTGTTTAAAAGATTTTTAACCGTTTTAGTTTTCATAAAGTTAAATGCGGAATGTTCGCCGGTGATTCACTATGGTAAACGATGGTGTAATAACATCTCAAATTCTGACACACGATATAAACACTGATTAGAAGTATTTATAATTTATCATTTTTACTACGTTTACGCTCGATGTGTGTTTACGGACAAAGCCAGAGGCATGGTGAACGGGAAAGAATCTTTTGCCGAATGCCAGCAAACCCTGCAACGGAAGCCTCTGTGAGTGGTAATGAAAGAAAAAGGAGAGTAAAGGGTCCGTAATCTCGAGAATCCCATGCTCGATTGGTGACAGTTCGGCTTGTTTTCAACCACGCAAGTGACGATAATGGCCTCGGGAATTGCAGTATTGGTTTTTCCTTTTAATTAATGCTAGTTTCAGCCCAAGCTGACGTTTTTGGGTGGATAAGACAGTAAAGGTTGAGCCTTGTCTGCGACTTTTTCTTTTCTTTGTTTTTGTCGTTCTTAACGTTAATTACACACACGTCCCCTTGAAATGTTTATAATACCGATATACTAAAAACAGTCAGTTTTAGAAGCAAATATTGATTATAATTTTGTTTAAATATTATTTTAATTGTTTTTTTGGGAATTTAGGATCTATTTATTTAAAAGAATAATTCACATATAATTTTTATATATCATGTCCTTTATTGAACATTAAAAAGGTTTGGAAATTTGTTGGATCTTTGTCCGAACATGTAGCTTTGATGGAATTCAGGAGTAGAAATGATTAGTTCTTGTAAAATGCTCAACATGACCAACTTATGCCACGTGACTAGTTTTTCTATATTTAGAATACCATAATTTAATGACGAGACAATAAATCTTGTTGTCTTAAGATTCCAGAAATTTGAGAATCTTACTTATCAATTCTTGACAAATATCAGAATTACTTTAGATTATTTAGAATTGAATGAATTTTAAGTAATTAATTTTATTATTGCTAAATATATCGCGAGTGCTTAAATACACAATATTATTAAATTTAAATATTGTAAAGTAGAATAATATAAATATTATATAAAAATAAATCATTTTAAAAATAAAAACTCATAAAATTGATTTATAATTAATTAAAATTAACAGAAATCCAATATTAATAATTTAATTAAAAATGTAAAGGTTCAATTCCCTTTTGCGTCAATGAAGGAAAAACATAAATTAGAATTTTGAAAAATGTTGGATGTTATGAAAATGAGGTGGTAAATTCGAATTGAATATAAAAAGTGGGAGGCTAAAAGAAAAAAATAAAAATATTGGGGCGTCCGTTTTAATTAGGGCGGGAGATTAATGAAAATTTGATTATGCAATGCAACTTTGAGAATAAAAGCTAAAGCTTCATACTCTGTTGTCTAAGTAGTCATCATCTTCTGGATTTCAATAAATCAGCACAGAAAAATATAAAGTAAAGAACCAAGTGGATCAGCAACGTTTCCTCTTTCTTATGCTTGCGTTTCGATTCTATTTAATTTCTTCTCTGACTCATTTTCATGGCGGATCTGTACGATGACGCTCCATTCGAATACGGAACCCGAAGAAATCTCCACTACTCTTAACCAAATCGTTCACAATCCTTATTCGTCATCTTCATCTTTATGCATGCAATTCAAGGGTAAGAATATTCACTCTCTTCCGTCTCAAGTGCCTGGAATTTCTATCCCGGCATTTAACTCCGGCGTTGGGATGGCAATTTCGTTTGTGGATCGCGACCGGCTCGGTAGATTGGCTATTCAAGCCGAATCAGAGCCTGCAGTCAATTTCTCTGATCCTGAAACTTATTTTGGACCCAACTTTAAAGACAGCGCTGACAATGCCTTATATCCAGCCAGCGGTTTCAGTTATGACAGCGAGGTAAAAGAATTTGAAATAATATTCTCAAGTGTCAAAGCTCTTTTCCTTCTTAAAAGAAAAGGTGAAAGGTTTAGTTTTTCCTCCAATTGGGAAATCTTAGATTAAACTTACTATTATTTAATCTGGAAGGTCCCGGATGCAACGTTGGTGCCATCAAATCAAGAACGGCCACGGATTTCATCGAAGCGAAGCAAAGCAGCCGAAGTCCATAGTTTGTCAGAAAGGGTTCGACTTTCTTAACAGTTTTATTTAAATTCTTAGAAAATAAGAAATCTATAAGAAATTTAATTTTTGGCCAAAAAAAAAGTTTGATTGTTTATGTTTGGCAGAGGAGGAGGAGTCGGATTAATGAGAAAATGAAAGCTTTACAGAATCTAATCCCAAACTCCAACAAGGTATCTAAAATCGTCCATGACCAGAAAAACCCTTCTCTTTTTTCATTTTCTTCTAATAATGTAATATATGGTTTTGAAATTTTTTTGAGTGATAGACCGATAAGGCTTCGATGCTTGATGAGGCGATCGAGTATTTAAAACAGCTTCAGCTTCAGCTTCAGCTTCAAGTACTGGTGAATAATCTCTTCTATTTCGGCGATATCTGCTTTCTGTTTTCTTACGATGTCGTTTTCAATTTTTAGTGATAATTATCACGTGTTTGATTTTGTTGTTTGTTACTCAAATGCTACGTCATTCCTGTATAGCTGAGCTGACTATGCTCTTCAGGATTTAAGAATTGTAGGAGTTTTGTTTAAACTAAAATTTACGCCGTGTATCAAATAATTTTCCATAATAATCATTTGTATCCATGATGCTTCCTACATGTTTTCCATCCCTTTTGCCATTTCCTATAAGATATGCATACTCCTCTCTTGTCTTGCATAGTCAAGTTCCTTTTTCCTTCCGAGCACGAAGCAGAAGGTTGCTGTTTTTTTCCTCTATCACCACCTCTTCTTTTCTCCTACTTCTCTGCCTCTACATTCCATTAATAGAGTCGGAGCTCTCTTCAAACTACTATAAGCAATCAGCCTTATACTTTGAAAAGATCATCCAATATACCATAACACAGAGCAAATCTGGCACCCCCACAATTTCAGCTACCAAGCTCTGTCACTTCCATGACTAAATGGTGGTTGGTTGATTGTCTTGCGGTTGGCTTAATCGTTTCCAATATTTTCAGATAAGGTTGAGGACTGCAACATTAATCTTTTGCTATCAGGAGTTGCTTTCGGCGAATGTCTGTGGTAAGACCATTCTTGGGCTCTCCTGCTGCCCTGGAATTGTCTGCTTATGTGTTTAGCCATCTGTAACCTCATCAGCTCAACTTGGTCATGATGAAGTTCTTCACTAACAAATCTCTAGGGTGGTAGGATACATCCATATAACTAACATGACATGCTTGACTTTCTTGGTAGCCAACCTATTGAATTCTTTGGTTGCAAAAACTTTTATGTTTGGCTTCGCAGCTATGATATGACTAAACCAAATGGTAATATGTTAGTTTCCTGAGGCACTGAAGAAAATCGTTGTGAATTATATTAAAGACCCTGCAATATTGGCATTTAATGATGTCATGGCATTGTCTAAGTTCGATAATCTGTACTACCTGAATTTATGGAGAGGAAGCAAGCGTAATGCTCATGCTCTATTATTCAATGACAATAGGACAAAGCAGTTTCTGTAATTGTTTTCTACTAATCAGTCTGCATTTCAGAGGAAAGGGGTGGGTTAGACACCAATGCTTTTAGTTCCATGCTTAGTTTAGTTTGTTTCTGGTGATGGCCATGGACATCATCCAAAGACAAATGGAATTATTTATTTTGTGCATTTATAATTTGTTATGGTGATAAGATCATGTGTTTGATTTGTTGCATATAATTACCATTTGTTACGGTGATAAGATCATGCTTAGTGATAACTTGTTTTTATTTCTTTAGTTTAATTTGTTGGATGTTATGGTGCAATTACGAATTGAGCTAGAATAGTAAAAAGTAAATTTGATTTGTTTCATTACCATTGCAGATGTTGTCAATGAAAAATGGATTGAATCTGTACCCAATGTGCTTACCTGGAGTACCACAGCCCATGCAAATGGATCCTACAGACACGGGCTATGATAAGGGACACATATTCTTCAGTCCCATCATAGGAGCAGGCACATTTTCTTCAAATGAAGAAAGCACGATGAATACACCTTTTAATCTTTCCGATCCGTCCACCATCTCAAATCTGCCAGTTGCACCTTCTGCAGCTTATATGTCTAACTTGGAAGCTTCAATTGGTTTTGGATCATCTGCTGGGGCACACTATGGTTCTTTTACTCACTCGACATCTTCCAAGGTAATTTTAGCATTAACATGTAATGCATCTGTCAGAGCAGTCTGAATTAATGCAAAACACTTATTCGTTTTCTTTGAGTGTGAAGGAAATATGCAAGGCAGGCAGGTAGGTCACAGCAGGGATTAGAGATGAATCATGCTGGGAATAGCTCTTCATCAGGTGTGTCTTAGCCAAGCAGGGGTCCCCAAGAAACAAGATGTATAATAAAACTGAGACCAAACTATTGCTCTGGTTCAGACACCATAGAAGCTACAAATTATATTGGAACATGGCATTCCATACTTGTTCCGTTTATTTTATGTTTCAGATTGTACAGGTTTACACTAAGTGATAACTATAATTACTATTTCTATAGAGTTAAAATTCAGGATCTCAGGATCTTCTCTTCTCAAGCAATGTGTTCTAAAGAGAATTATTGTGGCACCTAATAAGATTTTTATTTGGCGTCACAGAGAATATTATTATAAAATGATTTTTTTCTGAAATGTCAGTGTTGTAAATAAGGGATATACTATCTTTAAAAAAAGGGTAAAACTAATAAAAGTCAAGAAAACAGGGGCCCACTGGATATATATAAACTCTTTTTAGTGAACTGAACATTTGAACAAAAAGAGCCTAACTTCAGTTTTTGTCTTGAAGCCAAAGAACGGCATCATCTCAGGCTTGTAATTTTTCATCATCTTCCTCACTTTACACTTTCGCCACCTTTCTATCTTTGCCAACTTTTCTCACCATATTACGAATTTACAATCGCTCCAGTCTTCCCAAGAAAAATTAATTATGTTATAAACTGATAGCTGTATTGAAGTAAAAGTCAAGTCATAAAACCCCATAATTCAAGGTTTAATAGCAAGATTCTAGATAAAGAGGAGGGGGTGCAGCAGCCATGGCAAAGGAGGGTCAAATGAGAGGTAGAAAATGAGGGATTGAAAATGGAAAGACTAATAATGGTTGTGTTGATCAACCGGAGCATGCGGAGACAGAAAAAGGAGGAGGGAAGAAGTTATTTGCCTAAGGGACATCGAAATCAAAGAGAGCCGGCTTCCCATTAAATCTATCTATAAAGTAACGGCGTTATATTTACTGCATGCCCTTACTATTATTTCTGAATGATAAAATTTCTTTTCAATTAGATATAAAGTGCAATCTATGATCTGATACGAGAGTATTTCGGTAATAGCAAGGGGATTCTACCCTTGTCCTTGGCAGAATAAAGATTTTTCTTCAGAGCTGCATTAATTTTCTTTCGTACGTCTGTTTGTTGATTTCCTTATTCATTAAGCGGTGCTATTTATTGGTCTGTTGATTTTAAATTTCAACTATCTGGTACACGATATACTTTAATATATTGCAGAATGTGGACCAGGGAGACAAAACAAATTTCATTCTTAATTAATATTGTTCATTCATATAGTTAACTTTACCTTTTATTATTCGAAAGTTGCACCTTTTTTTTTTCAAATGTTGACTTTTAGTTGCTTCAGAACTGGACTGATGTTGTATGCGCAGGTTTCCAGTTTATGATTTGTTTGTTTATTGAAAAAAAAATGTTTGAAATATATCTTGGTACAAGAACTTGCAGTAAATTGTTCGATTGCTAATGAATTTGGTGCTAAATGCACCCATCTGGACATAACTGTTTGATCCTAAATCTTGTATGGGTAGACAAGTCTAGCATTGTTGATGAAGCAATAATATACATCAAAAGCCTTCAACAGACTCTCCAAACACTCTAAGAACAAAAGCTTGAGAAACAAAAGAGTTCAACAATTGTTGATCATGACCAAACAGCTCCAGCTTGCTTTCAAACACTGTTTTCTCCAAATATCGTCCTTACGATGTGCTGGATGATGCGCAAATCGGTGTCTGTATCCCCAAGGAAGCCGGGGATTTTAGCCACCATCTTGTGCATATTAGAAAAGCATCAGCTGGAGGTGGTGACTACTAACATTTGCTCGGACCGATATCGTGGAATATGATCCACGTCCATGAACGTATACACTAGATTTCAGTTGTAAACTATAGTTGGCTATAATTTTCCATTAGGCTTTAATTGGTGGGAAAACATAGAGGTAAAATTAATTGAATATGATTACCATTGAAACTCGAGACACATGGTGGCAGCAATTGTGTACTTCAATAGCTGCTCTTGGAAAGAATCTGTAATTGATTCGTTTTGTATATATTCAAGGGATTTTTATGTCTGCCGTATTAATTAAACTACATAGCCTGACAACGTGGGGTTGTCTTTTGTTTTGTTGGATTAGGCCAGTGGAGCGTTTGAACAATTTCCCAAGGCAGTGTCGGTGGAGGAGACATTTAAGCAAGCTGCAGGAGAGATGAAATGCTGGCTCTTGTCATGTTAATAATACTAACAGTAACATAAAGTTTGGCCTCTACTTTCCATTACGGTAAATAGGGGTGGACCGGGTGGTTATGTTGAATTACTATGAGATCCTCCCTAGACGAGGAGGTGAGGCAATTCCATTGATATCGGGTGACAAATCGTTTTCAAGCAATAATTGAAACTCGAATTTTATATGAGGTAAATATTTCGGAAGACGAAGAGAGTAAATATAAAGTTTTTAGTTCATAATACTATCTCATTGCCTTGGTTTTTACCCCTTCCTTTCTACTGAACAGAAGCATGACCTCAAAGTCTGTTGAAGTGCTACTTATCATTCTCCTTTTGCAAGCTTATCAACGTGGACGACACACGTTCCTGGAAGTCATTTATTTCGTCTCATTAATCTCTTTCCCATTTACCTTTCATATTGCTGCACAATAATGCATATGCCAAAAATTGCCCACAAGCCATAGGCATTGAAATCATGAGAGAGACAGTTGAGGAAATTGTGGTTTTAAATTATTATGGAGTGAGGGGAACCTGATGGACCCTTTAATCATCCTTTCGCTTGCACATTAATTACATGCCATGGTTTAGTTTTGCATTTAGATAGGCTAATGAGCAGAGCGAAATAGTGACTGCTCTCCCCATGTGACAAATCGGTCCAACGTCTCAAATGGAAAAGCTGAGGATCGCCTTGCGCTTTTTGCTTTTTATTAATATAATATTGACAGTTCGTCCACATACGAGACAATTCTCACAACAGTGTTTTGTATGTGCCTGTAAAGTTTTATGTATCAGTCTGGGATACAGTATAAAGATGCAATACAAACTGGCTCTATCCAACACGGCTGAAATAATTACTAATGGTTTTAACATATTATTAGTTTCTACACTTTCCTAAAATCTGTGATTCAATCTCAACTTGGAACATTAAAAAAATATTTCTTTTAATTTCTAATTTAATAATTGCAATTTAATTATTCTCGTATGATATTATATATAATTGATTAAAAATAAACGTGCCAAATAATAATTTCGTTAAAAAGACATTAAGATGTAAGAGAATTGAATTTTTTTTTCATGAATTTAATCTTAACTTTTGTCAAAGATATTAGGATTTACTGATTGGTTGAGTGATTGAAAATTTTGTGTTATTCCCCTTTTGCGTAGATTTGAGTCTTGGTACTGGTCTTAAAAATACTATACTTCTCCATTTAATCAAAAAAACTTTTGTCAAAGCATACAAATCGGATAACTTCTTTTGGATATGAGTGATTTTTTTCAAAGAAATAGGTGAAAATAATTTAATATTTTTACAATTATATCTAAATGTATAAAAGACAATTATACTATTGTCTCAGTTAATTTGAGTCAATAATCTTTGACGTACTGTTAAAAAGATAGGTTGATAATTTTTTTTTATTTCTCTTTATGGTGTGTTAGTATTTCTTGCTTTTAACTTTCTTTCTCTTAAAACTTATAACCATTATAAAATTAATTTATAAATTAATCAAATTAAGGATTACGATTCAGAATTTAAGTGATGGGCTCCCTATTTACTACTCGTATATTTTTTAACTTTATAACGATATAACAAAATTTATGTTTTACGTGTATATTTAATCTAAAATTTAGTTTCTCTTTCAAATGTTATGCGTGCTTTAAAATTATTTTAATTTAATTATATTTTGAATTACTAATTTATAAGATAAGCAATAGACAGATGGAGGGCAGGAAGCATTACACGTGGGATAGTCGACTGCGCTGGAATGAATGGCTCGTTTCAGACCGAGGACACCAAAATTAGCCCTACCGTAATTGAGATTATAAAAAGATATTTTAATTTATAAGAATGAAAAAAAGGCCACTTAAATGCACTAAATAGTTGATCTAATAAAAATGAGGGGAGAGAATTTTAATAATACAAAATCCGAAATCTGGCAGACAAGTACACAAATCAAAACAAGGTTTGTTTAATTAAATGGAAACATAATTAAAAGAGAATCAGAAGTGTGAACCAAAGTCAAAAGAGGCTCACCTTCCTTAATACTTCGGCACTACAAACAAATCAATTTTTTATATATTTAATGCCTGAAGATACTATTACATTTTAGCTACATAATTCTCCACTTTTTAACTTTCCAGTTTCGTCCATATCACGAGCATTTCCTTTACCCCCAAATATCCAAAATTTCTTTATATTAATTTAAATAGAAAATAACCTCAGTGACAAAAAATACCTTATAATATATGAATTTAATCATTTTTTGGATTTACCAAAATGACCAACAAATTCGCAACGTGAATTCCAATTTCACAATCCAGTTTCTAATTTCGTAACGCGAATATGTAATTCGCGTTGCGAAAGTCAAATTCGCAACGCGAAAATCAAATATAAATGCATATTAACATGAAAAATATAAGGGCTTCTTGTTTTGTCTTTCTTGAGCTATAGAAAAATTCGAGTATTTTTGAAGCATTTTTTTCATGTTAATATGCATTTATTGCTACCTTTATATCCCTTCTAAATCTGCATTTTCTGCAGGCTATGTAAAGCTCATAAAGCATCAAGATGAGCAACGAAGCTTTTGATGGGCAGATATTAACTGAGAAACAGTCGAAACTAAACAATTCGCAACAAAGCATTGAATGTATCCTATAGTTTTAAGTTTAACTCGAGGTTTTTTTATTAAGAAAATAGTAATGTTGGAATAGTCTTTCACTTCCATTAGTGCTATCTAATTACAATGACACTCCTGATTATTGAAATTTGGTGTAATTCTAAAGTTAATAATTGAAGAACAAGAATCTTTTGTTCATCTTATTCCTTTATATAAGTGTGCTTTCTTCATATAACCAGTATTGTTAAGGTGTGCGACTAGGCATCGCGCCTTAGCACTTGCAACAAAAGCTCTTTAAACCTTTTATAGACAAGGTCCATTAGATCAAGTGCATGCCTTTTTTGTTTTGATCAAG